CATACAAAATAATATCTTACAATTCACATTTTTTCGCCGCGCTGGCATAGGTATATAAACACTCCAGATGACTATACATATATTCTCAGGTAAAGTAATCTTTTAATGCTGTATGTACATTGAGTATCTACGCAGATAAGCCGGAGATTTACGTGAAGAAACCATGGGTGCATGCATATCCGGGGATACGAGTAACGCTGGATTGCACGGTGTCCGCCTGGCCCGAGGCGAAGGTGAGGCTGCTTTTCTCTAAAACTGCGTCAATGGCGCGCAATTGCGCGTTAATTAATGGTTCGAACAATAATTAACGACGTAACTTACAAAGAAAGTGCGCGCGCGTGCAAGTCACTTCGGCATAGTCCCGTAATCGGACTTTTAATTACATCACAAGTACGCGAGCGAACTTCGCACCGGAAACCAGTCGTGGCTGTAGACGTATCTCTCTACGATATACTTCTGAGGATCAACATGATACTACAAATGCCTTGAAACATTTTTTATTGGTTAATTAATAAAATTCTTTCTTTCGATTGATAAATCGATTGATAAAATAAGATAATTCGATTGATAAAATAAGATGCTTTGAAGCATTTTATCATTTCTCGCTGGGAAGCAAGTCGAAAAATGGACGCGAATGGAATTTACTTCTGCAAGAATGAAGACCTCGTCTCTCTCTTCTTTCTCTCTCTCTCTCTTTCTGTCCTCTCTCGAGGCCAATGCGAAATTGTATACACGTGGTTACTAATTATCTCGGTCGAATAATCTCCGCACCCTTATTAATTACAAAACAACGTAGAATACTTTGAAAAGATAAAACAGGGGTCCGATAACTCTCGCGTATAATATATTGTAAAAATAAATTTTTACGCTCCCGTCCCAAATTCCGAAACTTTAATATACGATAAAAATGTTCCCTCTTACGTCCACAATAACGAAGCGATACGATCGATCGGCGGGTTTCAACGTCCAATACAAACACGAAATATTTTTCTAGCAATACGGCAACTCATCTTTTAGATTTCAACGAGTTCTTCACGCTCGGTAACTAAATGAAACAGACCCTCCTATATCTACCAAGCAATTTCTCACCGTGATCCTTTAAAGCTAGTCGCACGTGACAAATCGATTCGTCAGGCACGTGACTTACTGTACTTTTTTTTACTTCCTCGCAAAAAAAAGGACCAAACGAGTCAGGGAGAATCGCGTTACCACAGATTCGAGTGGAATAACGTTACCAATATCATAAGAAATTGTAAAACGTTTCGATAAATTATGAGAATTTTGAACTCATCTCTTTTCCTTTAGGTTGAATGGTATTTCAACAACAAGACAATAAATTACACGTCGCGGATAGTGAAGTACAACAACGAGAATAATTACAGTCTATTGATAAGATACGTAACGTCAAACGATTCCGGTTCCTATACATGCAGAGCATCAAATTCCATGGGAATCACTGAGAAGATCATCGAATTATCGCAGATCGCGAATCCAGCAGTGTTCAAGAAAGAATCTGGCAGCGCATCTAGCACGTCGTATAACTTTATCTGGGTCGTCGACAGTTACAGTCCTATCATCGAATATCAGTTTTTGTTTCGAAGATACAAGGTGAGAATTCGTTTATAGCTGTTAATCTATAAGGAGCCCCGTTTCACGAAATCTTGGGAAAATCGGTGTGAATTAAATCGATGTTTCAAAATCGACATTTCGTCCTCTCTTAAATGAGGCGTGGGATCCAGTCCGTGGTTTTCGTGTGTTGTTCGCGTTACGATTCTGATGGCTGCCGCGCATGCAAGGGCTCGCAGGAATAATTGAACAAAAGGCAATGCCCGACGGCTTATTACTAGAATCTTCAGTCATAAAATACGTTTCTTGCTTTAACCGTTGTCTGAATCCGCAATAAGGCGATAAAGAGATGCCGGAAGTGCAGAGCGAGATGCAGAATATTGAAGTAACAAAATATTTGTTGGGTTGTCTCGACGCGCTCTACGAAGATTGAAAGCTGTTTTATCAGCTAATATTTTTTTCTTTCTTTTGAGAGGTAATTCATTTCCTTCATTTTATCGTGTTTTTTTTTCAAATCGTCTTGGCCTCGAAATAATTTACAGAAAATGTAAAAAATGTTGGGAATGTAATAAGTTTTTCTAACAAAATATCAGCAGGGTTGGATAAGTTAACCTTTTTTTTTTTAACTAAGTTAAAGTAAACAGCCTCGAAAATTTATCTTAATTAAAATACAAGTTAATCCATAATGAAATTAATTGAATTAAAAGTTAAGTTGATAAAAAAATTGAAAAATTAAAAGTTAAATTTGATCCGAACAACCAAAAAAAAAGAGAAAAAATTTGATCATTATACATAATTTTTCGTATTTTTCCTTTCTCACAGCATATTTATTAAAGAACCTGGTTATTTTTGTTCACAAGTAACGATTATACAATTACTAAATTATATACTCATTATCCTCTCGTATTGTGCCCGAGGATTAACTTAAAAAAAAAATTAAATTAAAAGTTAATAGTTACCGATAAAATATAACTAAATTAAGTTAAAAAGAGTCTAAAATGTAACTAAATTAAGTTAAAATTAATTAATTTTTTTACTTTTTAACTTAACTTTTATCTTTTTAATTTAGCACTATCCAACCCTGAATCATAATGAAATTAATTTAATTTAAATACCTTACCGCCAATGAGAAAAAATATGTATAATTATTCTGTTCTTACTGTTTGACTTGTAAATTTTGCATTCTTGTGCAATAATCTTATAACTATATAATAAAACAATATAATATTATATCGAACAGATTTATAGCCTCTCGTTCCCTCTTATGGATCGCGTTTCAGTGCCCTTTAAAAATCGATTTCAGCGTGATCGAAGATTTTTACGAATCTATTTTTTGAATAATTGTATATCCCTGCTGGTGGCAGTGACATCAGCCCGGTGCACGTTCGCTCCTTCAATCTGACGGGATTGGACGCGGCAACCTATTACGAGGCGGTCGTTTTGTCCAGAAATCGTTACGGATGGAGCCACCCTTCGGAGATACTGCGCTTTCACACCGAAGGAGCTCGTAAGTAATAAAGATAAGTCGTTCGCATATATCCGCTGCCTCTTACCTCTCGTTCCCTCTATTTCGCGCTCGCGCGCGACATAGCGATTGCGAGGAAAGATACGTCCGTGAGAGGAAACTCGGATCGTATGTGATAGTATATCGTGTCCTATTTTGCACGTTGCAGCTGTCGATTCTAACGAAAATTCCGAGATGGATGGTGATCAAGAGCAGAATAGGATAGCAGGTAAATCTGACGGTTCTATTTCAATCTTTCTTCTTTTAACTAATTGGTAAGAATTAATCTTAATCCCTCTTGTATCCTCAATCTACTAAACACTATATTGAAACTTTTTTTTTATATTGTAATCTTATTTATTTTGGCTTAAATACAAAAATGATTGTTAGAATTTTCCTACCTTATTACTTAACATCTCGAAAATTCAAAAATTATCTTTTCAATCGACAATTATAAAAATAAATTGTTACTTATTTTTTTAACTGAGTTTAACTCTCTTATGTCTAATGGGACATACATGTCCCAATATATTCAAAAATCACATCTATTCAAATATTGAACTTATATAATTAAAATTAAATAAGTTTGTTTTAAAGAGAATTGTTAAAATTTTATAGAAAAGAATATCGTGATAAATATATCATTTTACATTATTCTTAAGCAGAATTATGATTCGTAAAATATATGCGAGATTATAGAGGAAAAAAATTAAAAGTTTTAAGAAATAAAAAATAATTAGTAATTGTTAAAGATTAATAACTTACGTTATCTGTTTGCAGTCGTACAGCTCTCATCAATATCGCAGCATTATCTTCTGACAACGGATGCAAGCGGATCGATTTATAATCAAGAGCAGGTCTTGTCATTGATATTAAGTACGCTATGTATTTTAATCATAACACGCGATAGATTTAACTAATGTTGTATAAAATGTGGAGATTATAAAGTAGATTGTTGTAATTTATGCGTATATGATACGGCTATTGTTAAATATTATCGTTATCAGTCATGTTTGCGCATCAATGAATCACTTTCATTAACGAAGATTACAGTATCATTTGTACACGGTTGGTTACTTCACTCTGAAAAATCCATTAGTCATATAACGTAAAAAAAATTAGAGTATAAATTTTTACTGTTTTGTGAATTCATCTTTAAATTTTTACCGTAATTGTGCGAATAATTTGTATAATTAAAGCGATATAAAATAAGTATTAATAATTTGCGAACTAATTTCGTCGGTAACTCTGTTGCGTAGTTCGGAACTTGCCTTTTACCACTTGGAAAGTAGAAATAATATCGTCAGTCGAGACTAATTGCAGAAATTTTGCTTTACGTAGAATTTGTCTCGGCTAGTTGCTACGAATGCTGCATTATCGGCCAATACTTTTCGTTCTGTTTTTCTCATAATTTTCTTACCCGTACCTTTCGCAAATAGTCTCGGTGTCGAAATAAACGTGCAAAAATGTTGAGAATACAATAGGTTTTACTGACAGGACATCATAAGGAGTCATAATGAAATGAATTTAATTTAAATGTTGTACAGTCAGTGAGAAAAAAAGTGTAATAATTCTGGATCTTACTGCTTGACTGGTTGTAAATTATTTTGTATTCTTGTACAATTATCTTATAATTATATAATAATATAGTATAATATTAATATTAGACAGATTCACACAACGTCCGCAGTATGAAAAGGGATGCTTGCCCTTTGCTTTTTTTTCTTCCTTTTTTCCCATTTCTGTTTACTTTTGCTATAATATTCGCTTCCATGATGACTAAACATATGTAGCGCAAAATACTTAATAATCGGTCTCGTTTAAAAGTGAAAAATGTGTAAAAACGTGAACCCTCGATGCAACGACAGTATAGAGCATTATTGTTTTTTTTTGTTTCTGGGAAGTTAATTCGCGATGTACTGTATTCCACTTGATTTTCTTTTTTCTTATCTCGTAATAGTGGTTTTGGGTTTTGCTGGAATACTCCTAATTCCTGTCAGTAGCTCGAAGTTTCTCCTCGACAGCCTCCTCAGATGCCTCCGACAAGTCTGTCGCCTGTATATACTTTTGCACACCGACCAGCGACTTTTTCAAAGCATCGAAGGAACTCGAGTACAACATCTTCTTCTTAACCTTGGCCGTGTCGGGACACCACGACATCAGGAATAATTTCTGTTTCTTGGATGCCTAAGAAAAGAATAACACAATGATATACTTTTAAAAAAATATTTGTTACCGGATAGCTCTAACAATACTTTTAAAGTACATATCATTAGTTTATACGAAAATAGATATAGTCAGATAATCACCTCGGAAGTACCCTGACATTGATGGGTATATTCAAAGTCAAACAGGCCATAACGGCATTCCCCGCTGCCGCCCTTCTGTAAATCCTCGAGGAAAGCGTCATAAGCCGCGTCGCGAGGTCCGATAACTTCGACATCTATCTGCCTTTCGTCTTTGATGTAGAAAATCACATATCGGTGCTTTTTGTCTTTCTTTATCTCCTCGTACGTTGTCTTGCAAACGTCCGCGACTGTCACTCCAGATGCCTAATAAAACAAATGTAAACAATATAAATTATTATGGTGAGAAAGCGAGAAAAAAAAAACAAGGTTAACGTATTGCTGTATTATCGCGTGTATTTTATACCTTCTTATCAATTTAGGGAAAACTGAGTTTTCTTATCGGATTTTTTTATCGGATAATATTTTATTTCACTCGAACGTTGTTTTAGTACGAAAGGGATTAAATATATAGAATCACGAATATATTCGTTGACATCTAGCAGTGATGAATTGAACACAAAATTGCATGAATTTCATCGTCCGATTGACTGTCGCCCTACAATGGTCAGGTTGATTGGCTCAGTAGGACCACCTCGCGTCAACATGATAACATCGGCATTCAGCAATCGGCATACGTCGCGCGCTGCCGTGTCAGTCGGGCCGTTTAAGCCCATTTCGCGGGCAAAATACGTGGGGGACGCGCTACCGAAATAAATTCTTCCCACGCGTGAATCCCAACGCTAAAAGAGATCCGACGATCCACTTCTAAAGTTATCCTCTGGCTCTCAGGCACGTGCCGCGCGCTACGAACTTTCAGCGGTCGTCTTTTCTCTCCGCACCGTGGAAATTCGTGAAATACGACCGCGCTGGATTACCTTGGTATTAGGACATAAATGGACTAAAGGAAACAGCCAGAATACTTCTACCATTCTCAAATCTTGCAATCTCAACTTTAAATTGTATCGCGCCCGTTCAATAAAAATATCTAAACTTATAAAAGAGAATGATCGTTTCGAATCAATTTCAAATTTGTGACCAAATACTTTGATGATCCTATCGAACATCAAAAAAGCTATAAGAAATTCTTTTTTTAAAGTCGTTTTTTGTCAAGTCAAATCATTCTACACTGAAAAAAAGGTTATATCAACGGCATTATTTTAATTGAAAATAATTTTGTCGAGCATGACATATTTAACAAATTATATATTCATTATAAAATAAATATTTTAATTTGACAAATATATCATGCTCTTGTTTAGACACAATTTTATTTGTTTCATTAATATTGTTATAAATTAAAAAAATTTTCAATCAAAATAATGCTGTTGTTACATCATTTTTCTTTCAGTGTATCTACACAAATCTGTTTCATATCGCTACAAATTTTCCCTCAGTTTTGGCAAATGTATGAAAGTGAAATTGGCACTCAAAGGGTGACCACTTGATCTGTCGTGTCGTACAAACATCTATATTTTCATATTTTGAAAGTTACAGCATTCGATTAGAGATAAAAATTATTGCGTCTTCTAATTATAATAAATATTATATTAAAAATTTGAATGATTATCGAAGTTACATCCAAATTGCGGACATTTTTGGTACGAGATTCCTCGTGGCTATTCAATTATTGAGTGACGTTCAGTCTCGTTAAAATGACGTTGCATAGCGTCAGCTCGAATTTCGCGGAAGCAAATGAATATTCGCGATGCGGATTCGTGATCGTTAATTATGGCGTGAGGCTCAAATACGGACGTCCTCGATAGCAGACACCCGTACTAATGTATCGCCGCTCGTTCCACATGACCGAAGGAACGTAGCGGATATGAATCGGAGTGCGAATGGGAGTCCTGCGAGAAACGCAACGATTGGAGGGTAGCCGGCGAGAACGCAGAGGATGCAATTCCTGGGTCGATATCCTAACGGGGTGGCGACAGGGGACGCCGGTTAAAAGGGGCTCCCTCTTCTGGGGCGTATTGCACCCCTTAGCGCAAGCTGCACATAAGGTCAGGCAGAGGATGATTCATCAATAAATCTATGTGCTTTCCTCAGCTTTCTACATTTAATTAGGGGAAATATACATGTACTTAAATTCGTATCAAACAACGCACATTGGAGAGTGAGGATTGCAAATTGGAAATTAATTAAAGCATTTTCCAGTATTTCTGTTCCAGTTTTCCTGGAAAAACTAGTGTAACACTGATGTACACTGAGTGCAATTGAATGCAAATCAATTCACATATTTTCAGTTTGATAATTTAATCCTTTTAATTATTCTTTGTTGTCACAATAACCTCATAACCTTTAAAAGATTAAATTATTTATTAACACCGAAAATGTAAACCGATTTGCACTCAATTGCACAAGTGTTGCATTAGTTTTCCCAATGGAAAACGCTATAAAACTCGATCGAGAAAATGCACTGTAGACCAGGGCAGTGACCATGTAATTTTTTTCCTAGAGTGAAAACATTATAAGAGTGACAAATTTCTCCATTACCTTCAATGATAAAATTTTCACTTTTTCACCTTATAGAAAAGATTACACGATCAGAAATCGACAAATTACGATTCGCATAATTATTATATTTTAAATTTTACCAATAAAAAATTTGCAGAAATTTGTTTTTTCTTTTGTTATATCTAATATTCTCTCTTATTATATACATATATATATAAAACATTCTCTTGGGTCACAAAACCTAAAATTTTACTATCTGGCCATTTACAGAAAATATTTGTTGACAATATAAACTGAAGTTATTTAACAGATAAAATTATAATATAAATTATATCTCCAATTCGCAATCTCTGTAAATAATTTGATAAAGACTTCAGATTTTGCAAAGCGTAGCTAATATCTATCTGACGATTCGCGCTCTTTTTTCTAATTTTCGACTGGTAAAGATCGATCACGAAGAAACGCTGCTTTGAGGGATGACAAGATAAGAGGAAGACTGACGTGACGGTAAAGAGTTTAATCAACCGACCGCCGTCACCGCCACGAGACGTCAGTGAACTTTGAGAGTGCTCTCTCTCTCTCTCTCTCTCTCTCTGGCCCGCAAGAAAATAACCGACCTCCTTACAGGCTCATTGAATTTTTCCCTCTCCCGTAGCTACTGGCGCACCACTGTGCCGTGCATCGCGCCTCTCTCTAGTTCACTGTCATCGTCGAGGCGCGGCGAGGTGCAAGAGGATACCAGAGGGGAGTTAACAGATCGGAGAAGGGGACAGTTTTGCGAGAGCCGACTCTTCTCACCGACAATGCCGAGATAAACGTTTCAGAAAAAATGACTAACAGAAAAAGATTAAAAATTCGAGTGTACATTCGATATACATTTTTCTTTCTAAATTTCGAGAGTTTCAATACTTCCTCACACGTTCCATTATGTTGTAAATTATGAAAATACATACGTAATTATTTTTGGAAAATACAAAAAATTGGAAAATCGTCGAAGAAACCCTTTTCATTCCACATATACTTTTATAATAATTATTCAAAATTTTATAAGTAAATTCTATTTAAAATTAATTAAAGAACATTTTGTGCTCGTAGATTCAAGTTGCGTTTTCGAACGCTTATAGTTCAAAATTATTATTTTTACCACGAAAGAATCGACTTCAAATCCATTGAGTCCAACGTTACGACAATCATGAGTTGACGTTGTTGAGACACCTCGTACACGAATAATAAATTTTTACATGGTTGAGACAAGCCATCTACCACGTCACTCGACAAGTCGCTCTATAATTATTTCCATGGGTATGTAAATTCCTTCGTGGGAGGACGGTCGGCAAAAGGGTGCCGCGGAGGCGAACCCGCGAGAGGGTTAAGGTCGTGCTTAATCGCACTAACGAAGAACGATGAGGTAGCGATATGGCGCGATAAGAGCATCGAGTTACGGTCTTATTTATATCTACGCGAGTTGCAAGTGGTTTTGATAAAGGAACGCGAGCCATCCTCGTTGCGCGAAGTTGCAACTTTTTGCGATATTAACTGGATGCTTCCGCTATCGTCGCTCGCCTGCATTTCGCAACTTCGGGCTGTCCCTCATTGCGTCAATCTCACGCTTACCGAATCCGCGTCGACGAAGTCACGTAGAGAAATAGTCGGGCTTTAGTGTCAGTGTCAACGGAAAAAGTTCCGTTTTGACACAACAAAAGGAAAAGTATTTGTTAGCGTTGAAAACCCTATTTCTGTTTTCGGTCTCAACTACTTTTTAAATTCTTTGAAGTGGAATTTCACTCTAAAGAATGAAAACTGAACCAGTCTCGAAAAAGAGTAGTTCAATTTTCAATCTTTAAAAGAATAGGATTTTACTCTTTAGAATCAGATTTACCTACTCAGTTTTAGAGAGTATACAATACATGGCGAAAACAATTCTTTAATAATAGATATATTAAAATAAAATAAGTTCCTTTTTTCAGAGTATATTTAATGATAGCATTTTTGTTAAGCATCGTTATGTTATTGATTTGTTTATTATTGATGGAGCTTTTGTTAAATCATTGCCTATCACAACAGTTACAGAAAGAAAGCGTCAATTAAATTAAGTGTGAAATAATTAGCAACGTTAATTCAATGAATTAATTATATAATTAGACCTTAATTTTAACTTTGTGTTTGGCAAAATCGTGGCTCCGTGAAAATATTCGTAGAACGTACTTTCAAATAATGATCGTCATTTAAAACTACGAGACATGTGATCAATATAATCAATTACGAAGAAATATTTTGGCTTGAATTTCTTGAAAGATGAGATTCCGGAGATTCTCAATTAATGTATAAATCAACGTGATTTTTCGGCTGCAATAAATATAGATTACGAATTAAATCCCTACAATTTATCTTTCTCTTCCATTCCAAACGTTCAAGTATACATGTTCGTTTCAAGCGGTGAATATAACGTGGTGTAACCGAAAGGAAAGCCTGCCATTTCTCGATGTCGATGAAAATTGATTGCCACCGATTTCCGTAGATTGCGACGCATCGATTGAGCAGATCATCGAGATAACGTGAGACGATTGCCAGCGATCTGTCGACGATCCCGGTGGGAACCACTGAGTGAGATTCGAATAAAAGTGGTTGCCGATAGCACGTGATTCGAAGCGCCCACCCAAAATAAAACACGCGGCTTTTTCTTGAGGACGACGCTCAATACTTAATGATCTCGTCTCTTCGATCCCACTCGCGACGTCAATTCCTTTCGCAGTGACGTTCCATGAAACATGATATTATTTATCATTACATTAAAACTCGTTAACTCTCCAGTAAACACCAACTAAAAGTAACACATCAATGTTAATATAACATCAATAGTAAGGCATTGGAAAAAGTTTGATTATATTAATTGGAATTCTGATTGAATTATAATTCTAATTGAGATAATCAGAATTCTCTGATTGATATGATTAGAATTTTCTGAATTATTTATTTTCAACCAAAAATTTTTCTCAGTGTGACATCAAAAGTAATGTAACATCAATAATTGGGTTCAGCAAAAAAAGCAGCTTTGCAACTGTTGTAGAATTCTTTAATATGATTGGTTCTTAAGTCTATGCACAATTGAAAAAAATAGAAACAGGTAATAACAGATCTCAATCTATCAGGAACCATGTATTCTAGTACACAGGTTGAAATCTGTCATTTTCTGTTTCTTGTTTGTGCTTTTCAATTGTGTCTCAGGTTTTATTCTTGGTTTCTCACTGGATCTAAATGTATAACCAATTATAATAAAGAATCTTATGACAATTGCAAAACTACTTTTTTTGCTGGACACAGCCAATGTTACAATTTTATTTGAACAATGCAATTATTATATATATATATGTGTGTGTGTGTGTTATATTACATTTATATTGTTGAGGTCTAGTTTTTCATTATCTTTTTAATTGTGGTTCAAGCTTAACCTCATTTAACTTGATGATAATGTAAAAAATGTGTTTTTCTATGGTCAGTAAACTAATGGTTTTGTAATGGTACCTTAAAAGTCATTATAAAATTATCAGTTTAGTGATTAATCATACAATTTTAAGATAGAAAAATACAATTTTTATATTATCATCAATCCAACTACGAGTTAACCAGAAAATGAAAAACAGGGCCTAAGTGAAATTATAACATTGATGTTATGTTCCTTTCAATTAGTGTTTGCTGGCTCTCTTTAAACTCATACAAAAGATGAACTTGGAGAAAATAATCCAGGAGATCTGAAGACCTTCAGAATACACCTTTTCATTATTTATTTATTATATTTTTAATAACGGCCACGCATCATCCTCCTCTTCTACGTAGGTTAACACACGATATATATACTCGATTTAACCAAGTAGAGCGTGTCACGTGCGCGCGCACAATCGATGTTTTTTCCTAACGAGAAATGATAGAAAATATAGGTAAATAAATAAATAAATAAATCCACAAGGCTGCAAAAGCGCCATTACAATGTTATGATTACTCGAATTGAGTCACCGTCATTCTTTCGCGGCGAGCCGTTACCTTTTACGTCGTTTTATCAAGGCGATCGTCGCGACGTCCGGAGGTATCTTCGGAATGCTTTACGGTAATTTCGGCAAATGTTTCGAGAATTTCGGCGCGTTTCGAGTCTCTCCCTGGACGTCGCACGCGCTCGCGTTGAAGTAAATCGAGATTATCTCCTTCTGGACGGAGCTAAAAAGAGACGAAGCCGAGAACCGAAATCCCAGTTAACTTGAATTTAAAATATTTATAGAAATAGCCCTATAACACGAGACTTGCATCTTCATGGATGCAAGAACCGAACTCGGTGAGAGTGACACCGGTTGCAATCGGATGCAATGCAACGTTCGAAAAGGCAAAAGGGAAGAGGAGACACAGATAGAGACGGAGAGAAAGAGACAGAGAGAAAGAGATAGAGAAAGAGAGAGGGAGGGAGAGAGGGGGGAAGAGAGAGCGAGAGAGAGAGCGAGCGAGAGAGGCGGAGAAAGACGGAGCGAGAAAATGCAATCTCCCAGACATAAAAGCGCGATCTCACGCCGCGGTGACGCGCGATTCACCGTCGTCACTGATCGGTCGGTCAATCAGCTCGCCGAAGTGGAAATGAATCATAACGCTTCCTGGAAACGACGGCGAGTCCGTGCGTGCCGTCGCAGGATCGTCACCGTCGCCGCGGTAATCCGCGCGGGAGGCTAAATAACGAGGTCTGCGATGGAGACGGATGAGCGGAGCGACGATACGTGGCCGAGACGAGGCGAGATCGCGAGGCGAGAAGACGCCGCGCGGCGACTCGCGAGATTCTTCCGGGCGGCCGCCGTTGCGAGAAAGGAGGCGTATCACGGAGCCGGGCAGCAATGGCCGACCGGCGCGTCTGCTGCGGCCATAACCACAAAAAGGCCGTCGTCGGCTGCCGGGCCGGGGTCGAACCTCGCCCGTCGCGAAGACCGTGCCGCGATCTCGGCGTCCGTCGCGCGTTTATAGAACGTTCTTTCCCTCGCCGGGGTGGTTAATACACGCAAATTGCGGATTTGCAAAACGACGGTGGCGATGACGACGACGGCGG